TAGCGTCTTCACTATACAGCACATTTTAAAAAGGAATATAAATGATTATCATGCTGTGCAGTTAATTAATTTAAGACGGAAATACTTGCAGTTCGCTCTCCAAGGAATACGACAAAATGTGACCAGAATCATAATAAGTGTTTTGTATGTGCATTAGATTCCGAAAATTTATCTACAGTTTCTTCCAAAATATGAGGCGTACTGAAAGCGATATGTTATGCAACGTTAAAGTCAGAGAGACCTACACACAAAGAATGGCGCAATATGGAAAATTTGCAAATGAAATATAAAGGCCTGTAATTTAAAGGGAAAACAGCTGTACTGTATGTGTATAGTGGATGTCAAAAGGTTTATTCTGTTGCTAAGATCTGTCTTTCTGCCAACTTCCATTTGATTTACCTAAAATTCTGATATATCGCGATTTTACTTAAAGACTTTGCAATTCTTATTTGTTTGCAAAGTATTTATGATTAGAATGTTCGTCTTCGACTGGTCGTTCTTCGTTAAACCACGCCCTCCTGCGCATTTGTTACAATCCTACGTGAAACTTGCTTCATCTTGTGGCTTGTGGTTTTTCGTAAAAAAAATATTTTCATCTATTTTTTTTATTTTTGTTAGCCTACAATTATTTTCATGTAGGTAAATATTATAACTTTTATTTTCTGAAAATTTAATCTAAATAATATTAACGCACATCTAAACCCACCAATCGGCCATGTTTATTTTGGTCACGTGGATAACTTAACGCTGATTAACGCACTCTGGTTTAAGTTAATTTTTGTTGTCAACGGAGTCTATTTTACAAACCAGTCGAATGAAAATAATACTCAACGAAAAATCGTAGCCAACGAAATTAACCAGTCGAAGTGTCTTACTTTTTTATTCGAAATAATTGACATATAAACAGTGCTCTGAAATGTTGTACAAATTTTATCCGAATTATTTTAAAGTTATGTTATGTTTGGTTTCATATCAGCATTAGAAGAATAGAAAAAAAAACCCTGACGTTGGATAGAAGTCCCGTGATATATATGTTGTTAATTTCAAACAAAGTAATATTTATCCATGGTTGTATTGAGACACTAGGCATGCGCGTACTTGAAGTGATTGATTAAGGTTGTATGCTCTCTTCATTATTTATTGGTTTATACATGGACTTAGGGGCTTAGCAATAATATTGGCTCGCATTCGGTTTCTATTCAAAGTTTCCATCTATTAACGACTAATTTACCTTGCCATGTAAAGATCACTTTGACTGATTAGGTATAACTCTTAGGGTAAACAGTAGAAATACTTTATAGCGCCAGCAATTAGTTTTTAAATCTTAATTTCTTGTATCTAAAAATATTTATCTGGATTAATCTTTTCATTTTGGGTTACTATCAACTATCGCTAGTTCATTGTTAATAAAGTAACTGCACGATTCTGTAGTTGTTATAATAT